GGCCAGATATGTACAGCCAACTTCACGTGTATTGTGCCGGTCATGTGGTTTAATCTGTGAAGTGAAGTGACTATATAATTGATGCTACTACAATAAATATGAAAAAATATACATACATAAAAAATTGTTTTGTGATAGTGGCAGTACAAGTGAACCGTCTTAATTACGAATTAAAATCTTACATATTCCGTATTTAAATTTTGTTCGCGCGCGCGCGTTGAATAAAAATGTATGTATATATGATAATTCTAGGTTAGGTACGATAATTTTACGGCCTTGGTATGATCGGCCAAAGACATAGAGAATGGACTCCGTGTGTCAAAATGGTCGATAGGGATGAGAGAAGGGACCATGGCAGACGGCCATTTCTATCTCTTTCCATTCAATGGTGTAATGGGAGAGAGAATGAGAGGGAGATTGGCCGTCTCCCACCCACGGTCTCTCTCTCTCATTACTGTCGACCACATTTGATACACTACTTACCCCAGTTAAAATAACGAAGAAAAACGGACAGGATTTCTGTTCGTTTCTAGATGTAAGCTGTCCGCTCTATTCGCAAGCACAACGTGCGGATAGAAAATCCGCATTTACAACAGTAGATCCTATTCGCCAGTGTCTGTATCCTGTACGTAAAAATAATTCACCTGCATCTGTCCGCAATTACGTACAGGAATCCTGTCCGTTTCTGTCCGTATTCTATACATCGCGATTTCTATCAGCGTCTGTCCGCAATTACGTACAGGAATCCTGTCCGTTTCTGTCCGTATTCTATGCGTCGCGATTTCTATCAGCGTCTGTCCACAATTATGTACAGGAATCCTGTCTGTTTCTGTCTGCCAATGCAGATACGCATCCTGCCTGTTTCTGTTCTGTATATGTATATCTTTAAGTCGTGCACGATATATATATACAAAACATATACGAATCAAATAACGTTTGTATCTCGAGCAGGCACACTCGTATATACCTCACATAGATGAAAATATGTAGTCAACACCTTTGAACTGACAAGGTCTGCTGTTTCCGACAAAGATAGGCATAGCTCCTGTCTCGACGAGATTTTCGTGTCTGAGCGGTGTCGTCATCGTTGCTCCGCGGCTTCCGTGATCGAATGATATTCAACAGGGATCGGATCCGCGGGGCACGTGATGACGGTGGGAGTCGGTGTCGCCGGGGGGTAGTACCTCTCGTTATACGTGGTCACGCAGAAGGTCTTACAAAGAGTGTGCTCGAATATAAGTATTATATCGTGCAGCCCCTAGACGTTGTGTATATCACTCAGGGCGACGGTTTTTAATAGTAAATCCGACTCAGGGCAATAGCCCACAGGCGTTTGTCGTGATTTAGAGCAACAGCTCGCGGACAATATTCATTTTTATAATTAGTTGTTTCCGAATAAGGTAAAACGTAATGTGTATTATAAGGTATAAACTGTACTCTATCGTGTAAAATAAATTATATAAGAAACTAGTGTTGATATTAAGACGTCCACACTAAAGATGAAACAGTTTCTATCTGCAAATACATAAACGTATCCTGTCCGTTTCTATCCGCCAATGCAGATACGCATCTCCTGTCCGTTTCTATTTGCAAATACATAAACGTATACTGTCCATTTCTGTTTGCAGAACTTATTAGGCCGGTATCAGACTACGCATTGAAGATTGAGATTTGATCGATCGAAACGATAGCAGCTAAAATTCCTTTATCCTCATTGGCCAAATTTCAGTCTTAAATCTCAATCTTCAATGCCTAGTCTGATACCGGCCTAATAAGTTCTGCAAACAGAAATGGACAGGATACGTTTATGTATTTGCAGATAGAAATAGACAGGATGAGTATCTGCATTGGCGAACAGAAACGGACAGGATACGTTTATGTATTTGCAGATAGAAATAGACAGGATGCGTATCTGCATTGACGGACAGAAACGGACAGGATGCGTATATATGCATCGACGGACAGAAACGGACAGGATGCAAATATGCATTTGCGGACAGAAACGGACATGATGCGTATATGTATGTACTCAATTGCAGTCAGAAACGGTCAGTAGGAAACGCAGTCGTCCATCCGTTTTTGCGGATAAGAACCGATAAATTGTGAACACATTCTATCTGTATCTGTCCGTAATTGCAGTTTAAGAAACGCATAGTAAAGCAGATAGAAACGGAATGCGTTTTCTGTCTGTTTCTGTCCGCAGTTTTAACTAGGGTAGTTAGATACGGATCGCGCAGTCCATTCTCTATGCTTTGCGATCGACCATTGCTCTAGGTTACCAACACTGCATATCGCTGCGCTTGCTTAGCGACGAGACACTACCATGTCTCCTGAATAGCTGATTACAGCAATTAATTTTATGAAGCAACGTGACTGTGCGTGGATGTATCTGACTGATCACCGATTTGGTGGAAGATTCTGAAAAGTTAAGATTTTTTATTTCCTTTTTTGTTGAGTATAAGCGGTGGTTCCTAATACTATTGATACGGTATTTGGGGGTGGCACCCAGTTGGACACGGCTCAATTGGACACGAGCCACTCACAGCGATTGAGACTACAAAGCTCCTAAGCACCGGTCGCTGTGATTGGTGGTGTCCAATCGAACCGTGGTCAATCGGGATCACCCCGGTATTTGGTCACCAAAGACATGGCGGACCCTGAAAACTCGTCTGAAAAAGATCAAAGGTGCCAACGTTGCTTGTCCCTACTGTATATCCTTATACTGTGTGATGGCCTTACGGACTCTACTGTGATTGGTAAATTCGCTTACTGTTTATGTTTTACCGCTTAAGTTTTTTTGTGTACCGTGGCCCTAAGGGTTGCCGCACACAAAATTTCTGTAACAGTAACCTTAAGACGTAAACTTAAGCCGATGAGCCAATCACTGTTTTAGATCTACGTACTCTAACGGAAATAGAAATAGCAGTAAACTTATCCATAAGGCGAGTTTCAACCGGTTGAAATTCACCTTATTGCAGATTATGGATAAGTTTACTGTTTATTTTCATTTCTGTTAGATTACATAATCTAAAGCAATATCCTGATTGGCTCATCGGCTTAAGTTTACACCTTACGCATACTGTTACGGAATTTGTGTGCGGCAGCCCTAACAGTCAAACCTCCTTAATCATTTGCACTTCATTGTTTGCTCATCATAAAAAGAAGCAACTTTTGTATCAAATAGCAACCAGCGATGAAAAAATGGATTTACTGATGATAATCCTAAGCGTAAAAAATTGTGGATAAATCCACCGTCGACATCGACTCCAAAACGCAACATCCACGGAAATAAGATTTTTGTTGTGTATTTGGCGAAAACATGAAAGCCGCGTCTGTTATGAGCTGTTGAAACCAAATCAATCAATCATTGCTGAACGTTATCAACAACAATTAATCGATTTGAATCGTGTTTCGAACCAGAAATGTCCAATAACAGCTTAAAGAAAACGCAAAATGATCTTGTACAACAATAATGCTCAACCAAACGTTACAAAAACAATTAAAAACACATTAACAGCATTTCAATGGAAAATCTTACTACATGCCACGTATTTACTAAACTGTGTTCTTTCGGATTATTCCGATCGATATAGCACGGCCTTGCTGACCAGCACTTCAAAACATATAATGAAATTAAAATATGACTCAATGAATAGATTGCTTCGAAAAACGAATACTTTATCGCGGAATCCATTTATTGCCAAAAAAGTGAGAAAAAGTTGTAACTAATGGAAAACATTATGAATAAAATATAATTTAATGTCTCTCTAAAATAAATGTGTTTTTTTTTTGCAAAAAAATCCCTCAAAACTAACCGGAATACTTAGTAAATATTACAACGACAAAAATAAATAAAATTCATTTTTTTACTTAAAATCATCAAAGTACCGGTTATAGTTAAAGGGTAACGATTGCTTATTGGAACTTTCTTTTTCAGTTTATATTTTGTTTGAATACTTAAATGAATATAAATACTCATCAAATAATCATAATTTTTTTGTGAATAAATATTTTTGAAAACCCCAAATTTTGACTGAATATGGTTACATTTTTTTTTAACGTAAAAATGTTGAATAAATACTATTTATAGCTCAATTACAAATTTTTGTGTTCATCGGGCACACTAGTCAATCGCAACATAGTCAAACAGAATGCTCTCAACGTAAATCGATCTTTTTCTTTGATGGTTGTAATAATATCGATATTACTCATGTTGTTCAGTTATAACAGAAAAGGTACTGAAAAATAACTAAAAAGTTATTTTTTAAATAACTGTAACAGGTTATTTTTTAGAATCGGTAATTAATTACTTTTTAAAAGAAAAAAAAGGGTAATTGTAATTAATACTTTTACAAAGTAACTATCCTAATCTTGATATAATTCATGCTATAATGCCAATTCTTGATATAATAAAAAAATGCCGCAGACATTACTTCCGTCACAAACAATTTCTTTCTAGTATACAGAATACATAATTGTAAAGAGCACTTCATTTAGTGACTAATATTGTAATAATTAGTAGTTTCTTGCAATATCTGTTTAGATGCAAGAAATGATTAATCTGTTGGGTTCACTTTTTTAAAACCTTTAAATACTAATTGATAACATTACGTAAGTATAAAAATGTTAAGATAAAAATGAAACAATCTTTTACATGTAAATATGCAACTGTGTAAATTTTAGTATTCACATATAGTACTTACAGAGATATTTAAAAGTCAAGAAAAAAGAAATTAATGATATTCTCTAAAATAAAATTTCATTTATACGCCAAACGTACATTCATACTACTGAATCAAATATTCATTACATAATATTCGTAACATGTATGATACTCTTAAATTAAATAGAATTACAAATGATTACAATATTAATATTTGTTAATTAAATTAAAATTTATTTTTTACTCTTATACGAATTAGCAATTAAAATTTCCCATTTTAATTGATAATCTATAAATGGTAATAGAAACTGTACATTCCATTTTTTTTGTTACAAATCATCACGAAAATATTTCTTATTTCTAACAAAAGAGAAAATTTCTATAGCTAGATCTTCGAGATCTTGTAAGAAAAATCTTTAACTCGAAACTTCAATAACAGCCTTGTGTACAATATTAAAGTATAGAATCCTATGGCCCATGGCACGATATAGTTCGTGATCCGTTTTGGCTCGCTTAGGCTCGTTACAGAATCAGTCCCGAAATTGATATAAAAAAGGCTAAAATTGTAGTCCTATGGCGGTCCCACGGCGATCTCACGGAGCGCTGAATCAGGTTTACCATAAAACGAGCCATGGTTCCGCGTGGCGAGTCTTATCGTAGAAACAGGGTGCCTCGCTATTACTCGCCATAGCTCGCGACTTATGGATTATCGGTTTGCCGAACCGGCCGAACTGTCGATAAATTATGCGAGTCCAAAGGATCACCAGGACTTGTGCCTTGACTAAACGAAATAATTATAATTGCTGTGCGTCGTTGTACCACCCAATTTCTTTATACTTGCATGTAAATACGTCAGAGCTTATTTATTATTATGGTCGAGACGCTTATTAAGTTGAGATTTTTTTATCATTCAAATCGTAGTATGAAGTAGGAGTAGCATGATAAAAAAATTATCGAATCTATAATTACGTGAAAAAATTTATATAAAATGACTTTTTGCAAGCATTGATCACGTTCAGCAGAATATTTGTTTCGTTACTGTTGGAAGTTTCTTTCGCGCTAATAGAATTATACTTTAGATCTTCTGTAGTCTTATATCAGCGAAGAAAACTTTCAACATTTGCAAACTAAACATTCTATTGAACACGATCATTGACGAGCCCAACAGCGCAAGATGTCTTGTCGGCTTGTTTATCACAAAGGCTTCTTTAACTCGCAAAACTTACCGCCATCTTCGAAAACAACGTGTCATGAGCCACAAACCGCGAGTGATAACGAACTATCCTGATTCCACGACGCGTAGAGGCTTTCCAAGCCAGGGTGAGCCATGGCGAACAATGCCGAGCTACTGACCATAGGACCCTACCTTTGAAATAATCATTTTAATCATAAATACAAACTAAAATGGTTTTCTCTAAACTTATAAAAAAATTTTGATTATCACTTCATTAGAAAACGAAAATTTTACCTGAGTGACGTCACAATGCTACAACAAATTGATCTTTGGTTTAAAACCCGTATCAAACTAAAGATTGAAATTGGATTGAAAGTTGATCAAAGCAAAGGTCACTAAAATTTGAAATTAGTTTTCTTTTTCTAATAAATGCCAATCCAATTTTAATCTCTAGTTTGATACGAGCATAAGTCTCTTATTTTAGACTTGAGTTAATGCAAAGTGCAAAAATTCGAACATAATTACTATAAATCAAACGTACGATAGATCATTGATTATTGTAAAAGCCCTAAATTTCGTATAAATATACGTATAAAGAAAATATTCGAAAAAATTTTCACATACTTAATTGTGGACAATTTGTTTCGAATCCGTTCAAAATGAATTGTCCATAGTTAAATTAGCTGATGAATTCTTACTATCGGGAGATTGCATTGCAATGTAGCGCCTTCGTAAAATTTCCTGCAAATCATTGCATGGACTATTCTCACGTTTCACCCGCATAGGATGGCCGCCTGGAGACCTATAAAAAATCAATATACAATCTTATTTTATTTTCTAAGAGCTCTCAGTTCTTGTACAATCACTATTAAACGTTGAATTATAGTTTTACAAACGAGAAATTATGCTTTCTATATGTGAATGCAAAAAATAATAGCTTTTTTATATACATTCACATTTAATAAATATGAATTAAAAAATATAAGGTGTACAAAAAGTTTCGGACTTCTTATCTTGATAATTAAAATATCATGAAAAGTAAGCATTTTTGAGAAAAATGTTTCATACGAAAGTTGTAGGGTTTAAAATGATCACTTTACTGATCTCATCAATTTGATCTTGGGTGGCACTACCAAGAACAGGTCAAGATCAAATCGATTTTTTAAAATGAAACATCCTACTTTTTATTTTAGAATTTAACAGCTGGTGGCAAGAGCTTTTAAAAACACTATAATATAGCCTTTTTTTAATTAGTACTTTTTGAGTTATGAGATTTGAAAATTACAATACCGTCGGTATTAACATTACCTAACGTGTATTGCATAGAGGTTGCCCGAGTTGTGTGTATTTGCGCGCGCATCTGTGTGCATCTCTATCTCCTCCTTCATTCTCTTTCCCTCCCGCCCCCACACACAGTTATCTTTTATTGTAAAATATTTACCCAAAATACTAATGCTAACTGAACAGGAACGTATATCCCTTTTAATGATGTGAGGTTGGGATGAGATCTTTCAAACAAGATACTTGTCAATAAAAAGATAGGAGTCACTCTAACCTTTAATATCTGTTTCCCAGATGTCCCACCTCTTATCACAGATTAAATTTTCGGGAAAAAAAAACAACTTTTTATACTTAAATATTAACTATCTAAAAAATTTTGACTAAGACGAGAATTACAGGGATTTAAAACCAGGGTTGTCACAAATTCCTTATCCTAAGAATCCATAACTTTTCCCTGATTTCCAGACAAAATTTCATGATTTTCTCTTATGCTTTCAATATTTTTTTGAATTTTTTCGTCCTGATTTGCAAATCATCAAATATTTTGTTGAGGGAGCAATTTAATATAGTAATATAAATTATACTATTAATGTTGCTAACATCACCTGCATTTTATTGTTAAGTTAGTAATATTTCAAAGCTGCGTAGATATGATGTAAATATATTAAACTTCTTTAAAGTCAAGAATTTAATTTTCCAGAAAATTTTACAAAATTCCTTGATTTTTCTTTGATTTTCCTGACCGTTTACAATTTCCCTGTTTTCCTGATTTCTAATTTTGTAACAATCTTAACAGAAAAGCACATAGGCTGGGACTTAATGAGTTAATCAAGATTTACAATTATTTACAATTATTAATCGGTGAATTAAAAAGGACCTCACAACTATATTGTAAATCTATTCTAATGCAAATTACAATATGTATTAAAAAATTGACTTTAACTTTTATTTACTACAAAATTTATCTATATAATTAATCTATGATGAAAGTTTAGATAAAAGTTTTTACCAGAAATTTTATATAAAAATATTAATCTCAACTACCTTGCAACTGGTCTTAATTTTACATTATCGATATCCTTCAGCATATCACCCATCGATTTCTCTACACTCAATAGAATTTTCTTGCGATCTTCAATTTTGTGATCTTGCAAACTAGCCCTTCTCGCGATATGAGGTGTTGTGGGTGGTAAAAATGAAAGTGGAAGTGGTGGTGGAGGTGGAGGAGGAGGTGGTGGTGGCACTGACAAAGACTTTAGATTATCTTCTCCATTGGGCAGAGACGCTACAGATGCATCTATAAAATAAACGTGAATTTTTTAATCTTTTCAGATATTTTTGAGTATAACAAAATATACTTCTTACATACATTTGGACAATTTATTATTTTTCACAATTGTTGAAATTTGTTCCCTAAGCTCTTGTAATTCTTGCTCTAACGCGAGCAATCGTACTTCTGATCCAAAACTAATCGGCTCGAACAGATCTGACCTGTTGTCAAAAAAATTGTTAGTGTTACAAACTCAAAATTTAAAAATATAGAATAAAAAAATATGGACATATCTAATTATACAGAGTATCTCAAAACCACCGTATAATATTTTCATAGCGTATTTTAGAGGTAGAGTAAAAAATCCTAATACGAAAATGTCGAGGATACAATAGTTTTTAAATTATAACCGATTATATAAAAATAGCCAGTAGGATTGTATAAAATCCGAGCATTTATATTGATGCGCTTGTAGTTACAAGCGCACATCGATCTGATACTACATACATTTACAGTTAAATTAAATTTTTTTATTACACAACTGATTATTTATATATATAACAGTATGGTGACGGCGTATATGTTATAGCCAGTTATGGCGCGTTATATGTGGTTGTGTAGATGTGCGTGTAGTCGCCAATTTACGTGTTTCGATACGGTGGCAACTGGCCGTCGCTGTCGGCCTCTATTGCCTACCGTGCGCTAGGACTTGGCTCGGGAAGCTGTGCGCAAAGAGAAGGTTCGAGTCTCGAGATGTGTCTATATACAGATATATTTACAGTTTCCTATTTACAAGGAGGTAGCCCTGAGAAGGGCTGATTGAGTTGCTTTGTGGTGGCCCTGAAAAGGGCTGTTTGGTCCGGTGTCAACCGGGCACGCGTTCGCGGTAGCTAACGCTCGGCGTGCAGCGCGTCCATTTCAGCCTTCTCTCTGCGCATCGCTTCCCGAGCCAAGTCCTAGCGCACGGTAGGCAGTAGAGCCGATGTCGTTATTGTTCTCGTCGTGGGCCGGAATGACGACGGTGACGCGCATCCTTAGAGCCGGAGGTGTTCCTGGCGGTATTCGCGGTGATGGCGGCAGAGGATCAATCGGCGTGCTCCAGTCCGCTGTGCACGTTTGCATACCAGTTGCTACCTTTTCCGGCGTCGTTGGAAGGCCGGCTGTAGACGGTGTCGGCGGTAGCGGCGAGACTTCAGGCGGTACCGCAATCAGACTCGACGAGGGCTGTCGTCGTCGCCAGCTGTCCCAGACGCTGAGCCGTGCTCCTAGAGACCGCGTCTGCTGCTGGCGCCTCGTCGAGATGCTGAGCGGGTGAAATATCTATTGCCCTGGAGAGAGCAGGCGGGGCCCCGCTGTGTCCTGGCACGCCGGTGGTCGTCGGCCAGGTGGAGTGGCTGCGTCCATGGTATAAATACAAGGGTATGCTCGACCGGTGGACGAGTTTAGGAAGCCTTTGCACATCATCTTGCCTACGTCACATTTGTGCAATCTCGGTTACGTTCGAAGCACTTCGGCCGGCTAAAATATGGTTGCCATGACGGCTTGGAGCCGTTCCGTTTGGCTATAATGAGTGTTTGTGCAGTGAAAGGATGCAAAAATAATTACCGAAATAATGCACAAATAATTACACAAATTTATACTTATTACTCATCGTTCTCATAAAATCCTTTCGCTTATCTTAATGAATTGACGCTACCATGATTTACTTCATTTTTAACCATTTGGATTTGCCGCGTAATGATGACGTAGCCATGACGTAGTCATAACGTAGGCAAGGTGCCAATACTCATTGGTTGGTGGGCATTACCATGCGCAAGAGCACCGATCGAGCATACCCTTGTATTTATACCATGGCTGCGTCCTTGATGATGCTGCAGCCACTGGTCCCAGCGGTGCCTCCGCTGCTAGTGGTCTCGGCTGCTCCTCTGCTACTGTTGCTGGGCTGCTGCTGCTGCGCTCTGGTGATTGCGCCTCTGCATCTGCTGCTGGTTGGTACCCTGGTAGGCCTGGTCAGCTGCCTGCGATGGGCTTGGTTGCTGCTCATGAGTCCTAGTCGGGATACCGTGAGCCTCAGTGACGATTCTCCGTTCTATGGGCCTTATATTACCCGCCGGAGATTTCTTATCTGCGAGCGCGCGGTATTCGCGCCAGCCCCCTAGGGGCTGTGTCGCGATACTCCAGTTTCGCATGTCGCGGGCACTCGCGAGAAAGTTGTCGTGGTACACCCGCGCGCATGCTGCGTGTCTGCTGGGTCTTCATTCTGGTGGTGCTTACTAGCCGCCACAACAACATTCCCAATTATTGTTATTAAAATTATTAAGTCACACAAAAATTTTACGCTTGAGAAACAACATCAAAAATAATTATAAAATGTAATGTGTTGCTTTCTAACACTTTTATGTCTTGAAACAAATAAAATCGTGTAATTATTAATTAATTATCGTGTAATTGTGTATTAATAAATAAAAAAAGTAAGATTAAATTGTCCATATTTTTATAACAATATAAATTTCTATTAAAATCGCAAAATCTTGATTTATGGAAATTATACATTTTACTTCTCTCTCAGTAGTTGAAAACTTGAAAAAGAATATACGTGAAAATGGAAAATAATAATTAAACAATCTTAATAAATCTGCTTTATGTAATATCTTAATAAATCTACCTTATTTACTTTGTGTAGTTTTTATTTTTTTAATGCGGAATAATAGATTATATAAATCAATGGTCGCGTTCAACAGACTCAACTTGCGAAGCGAAAGATAAAGCTGGTTATATGAGAATTTTATATGATTTATGAAAATTGAGCTTGTAACACTAACAATCTTATTTCTTTGATTTATAAATACACGATTACATGATAATTAATTAATAATTACACGATTTTATTTGTCTTAAGATAAAAAATATTAAAGAAGCAATGAATTAACTTAATATAGTAGAGAGCACCTTAAAAATCGGTCAAAGTTGGAAGTTTCGAATAATATAATATTCCAAGTTCATAAATTTAAGGCGCTCCCTACTATATTATGTTGTTACATTAACTCGGTCGGTTTCTATTTCTTAAAATACGTCGCCTGGTTACGCGTTTCACTATATATGTCAGTTATTGCGAAGAATATTTCCGAAGCCTCAGTGATCGAGCTAGCTAAGACACTTGCTCCGGAAAGTCGAGAGATCCCAGGTTCGAATCCTGGCTGAGATAATATTTTTCGCAATAAAAGTTTTTTATTTGAAATAAAGGGGGGAATTAACTTTAATAATTATTTTTCATGTTGTTTCTCAAGTGTGAAACTTGTGTATTAGACGATTCCAATAATAACAATAATTGCTAATAATTCAAAACATATAAAACAGGAGTTACGAGCCAAAATAATATATTTATAACAAAATGTTCAAATAATTATAAACAATGGTGCATTAAAACGCATGTCGACGTTTGCGTGTAATAAAATTAAAATTATAATAAAACGGCTCAAATAATAAAAATTCAAAACATATAAAACAGGAGCTACGAGCCAAAATAATATATTAATAATGTTCAAAAATTATAAACAAGACGACGACTTGTTACGAGGTCATCTTCAAGTTGTTAAAACAAAATTTAAATATATACGGACTTATTATACAACATTAATATCGAAAGAAGATAAATTCTGTTAATTACGTTATGTACGAGTATATGTAATTCGGCGGCAATATATCATAGCAGTGTATACCTACGTACTGTTCCAAAAAAGGTGACAACCATTACTAATAATGCCATGCAATCGAATCTCGGGAGACACATAAAAAAATCGTCACTTAATAGTTTTTTTATTATAATCTAAACATAATATTAGAAATACAGGGATAAAAAATTAAAACTAAATTCATCGAAAAATAATACAATTAGTCATGTGTCTATGAATAAAATATAATGCAAGAAAAACAAAAAAATAAATATTTCTATTATACATATATAAATAATTAAAAATTAAAAATAAAAAAGAATATAACAACAAAAAATCCAAAAAAACAGAGCGAATGAGAGTCAGCGTGGTAATTAATACGCAATCTTAAATCTTTAGTCCAGAAAATAGAATCTTTATTCCCAAAAATAATAGTACGTTTCAGTTCACTTTGGAACTATCCTCAGCAATACAGATTCAAAATATCAATCCCTTCATGTCCAAGAAAAAATCACCATCAGATTAACAGATTTGATGTTGTAATCTATTCGAAACATGAGACTAATACATTTAATATAATAAGAAAGACATGTCAGGTCAACAACGAAAATAAAAAGAAAAAAAGGACAATGTCAATACATAAACAAAAATTTGTGTAACCGACAACATATAACTATTTAATGTCTTTTAATAATTGTATATAAGTTTGATGTACATCCTCTGAGAGTAAATTTAGACTATTTTGTTGCACACACGAGTGTATGAAGGCACTCAGATATTAAACGTTTATTAAGAAAATGCTTTTCATCTAGAATCGCGACGTTCTTCCAATCGAAGTCATGATCAAATTCAATCCGTGTTCTGTGATCACTGATTGGTTGTTACTATTCCGGTTAATATGATTATGATGCTCAGCCAATTTAAGTTTTCTTTTTGTCTGTCCAACATAAGAGGCATTGCAAGATTTACATGAGATTTTATACGCAACATTTTTTCTTTTTTTCTCTTGGGAGGATGTTTTTATGTCCCTTGATCAAACTATTTAATTTATTTAAGCTAGTAAAAGCTAATTTAGTGTTAAAGGTTTTACTAATTCTTTTGAATTCGTTTGAATTTTTTGGAATATAAGGTAGTACAAACCAAGAAGTACAATCCCTCTTGATTTCTTCACTTGATTCTTTCTATTGTATTGTATCTTTATGAATGAGAATTTTTAAATGTGCGTTAATAATATTAAAAATTAAATCAATAGGATAATCATTTTTTAGTAATGTACTGACAATGTGTTCAAAATTTTTTTGGTGATATTTAAGATCCAATAATAAAAACGCTCTATCTGTCATACCTATTATTATGCCTCTTTTTTGTGAGAGTGGATGTGCCGATAAAAAATTAAGGTATCTTCCCGAATACATAGGCTTATGATATCAGTCTAATTCAATTAGATTGTTATTATTAATAATAGTAATATCCAAAAAATTTATTTTGTCATCGCCAAATTCTAAAGTAAATTTTAATTTGTCATGTAACGAATTAAAGATCTCAAGTGTAAAGTAAACTAGATTTTTTGGAACTGCCATAACAACATCATCTACATAACGAAAATAAAATAAAGGTTGAAAACCTAAAGTCTTTAATACCCTTGCTTCCAAATCCCTCGTTACTAAATCGGCTACTATTGGAGAGAGAGGAGACTCCGTAGGGGGGAACCCAAATTTTGTTTATAAAACTGCCCATCAAAACTAAAATAAGTTGAATTGAATACCAACCGGACTCCCAACATAAAGTCATCTTCGAGATTGGGGTGAGTCACCAGTTTTTTAATGTTAATTTGAAACTTGTTGGATAGAAATATTTAGAAGATTAATTAATGTTTCGAATAGATTACAACATCAAATCTGTTAATCTGATGGTGATTTTTTCTGAGACATGAAGGGATTGATATTTTGAATTTGTATTGCTGAGGATGGTTCCAAAGTGAACTGAAACGTACTATTATTTTTGGGAATAAAGATTCTATTTTCTAGACTAAAGATTTAAGTATTAATTATCACGCTAACTCTCATTCGCCCTGTTTTTTTGGATTTTTTGTTGTTGAATTTGGGAAAATCCGTAAAAAGATTACATTATTACTATTCAAAAAAGAATATATCTACCTCAATTCGAGTGCACACCATACTTGTACGTTTTAATAATACTTGAATTAACATTGTTCTTAATAATAAGAGATCCAAGAAATGAGTTCTTTTACATACAAGAGACAGATAAAAAATGAACGTTAATTCGCAATAGGCAATCCAGACGTACTTAAGCAGAGATGGGGTAGGGGAAAGTAAGGATGGGGGTCATCGTCTTGTTTATAATTTTTGAACATTATTAATATATTATTTCGGCTCGTAGCTCCTGTTTTATATGTTTTGAATTTTTATTATTTGAGCCGTTTTATTATAATTTTAATTTTATTACACGCAAACGTCAACATGCGTTTTAATACACTACCATTGTTTATAATTATTTGAACATTGTTACAAATATATTATTTTGGCTCGTAGTTCCTGTTTTATATATTTTCAATTTTTATCATTTGAGCCGCTTATTATAATTTTAATAATTGCTAATGTTGTTAATAAAATCAGTTCTATAATAGAAAAATTCAAAATTAACTGCGAATATAGTGTGGAAATGTCCACTAAGGAGGCCTGACTCGAAGCTTTGTGGTCGGCCGCAGCGTTTCGTCCTGGTCCCACACTACTAGACTCACCAGTAAGGCGATGTAGTATGGGACTTGCCTTCGACGCCTGGAATGAATCCAGAATGATATTCTATTTAAAGAGAAATCGCGCGGCGCGGTGCTTACGCGAATCGATGAGTCCCGTGGACCTCTAGTTGCGAGTCGCCACAACAGTACCAGATCGACGCACGCGTAAATATGAGCCTATAGTGAGATTCTCTAAACGTCTTATGACGACAGCCAATGACAAGACAATCCTGGAAAAAAGCATGGCACTTATTGACTGTCACTAGTTAACAATAGTGACAATTGTCGATGAAACGTTTAGAGAATCCCGTAACTGAACGCAAGAATTATCTAGCGAGACTACTATCTTTGATCGGCTATAATTCAAAAACTATTGTAGTTCCATTTTCATATTAGCACTTTTTACTCTATTTTATCTCTAAAATATGCTATGAAAGTGTTGTACGGTGATTGTGAGACATTCATAACTTAACGAAACAATGTACTGACCTTATGGGATATCCATTTGTATCAACATAATTGCTACTAGTTTCCTCATTGATCATAGAATTTGTCATCAAGTGTAATGGTGTCACACTGACATATATTTTTGGCGGGGGCTTCAATGGTAAAAAAGATCCAATTCTCCTTACAATACTTCTTCTTTTTCCATAATATTTAATGTCGCCCATCTGTAAGAAAAAAGATTAATGTGCATAATTTTGATATAAAAAGTTTTTTCAAGATATGTGAAGTAAAAATGGTTCGAAGAGAGAGAGGGAGAGAGAGGGGGAGAGAAAGAAAGAGAGCGAGAGAGAGAAAGAGAGAGAGAGAAAGAGAGAAAGCGAGAGCAAGAGTATATTTATACTCAAGACTTAAAATGTTATTGCCAACTTTTGTCATAAGCCTGTGATAAAATACATTACATGGTTTCTATATATATATATATACACAGAGATATAAAAAATATTTATTTTCTAAATTACAATTATATTAAATACTAATAATATCAAAGTAATTGATTACGTATATTTATATTCAAAATAAGGAAATAAATCAAGGGCTTAAATAATTAAAATTAAAACAAATAAATAATAAAAGGGCTACAAGCCTAGCTAGATGTGCGTTGCTAACAATTCAATTTAATGTTTAAAAATTAATAATAAAACGTTTTCGACCCGTTATTGGGTCATTCTCAATGTGACAAGAATAATTACAGTATAATAAAATTAATTGTTTTCGTCCGTTTTTTACAATTCTTTCTTACGCATCATGTTGGTCAATTGGTGTTGCGAGTTGCGATGCAGCTTGTCCATTTAAAAAAAAAAACCGATAGGTGTTTCCAACATTTGTAAATACTTATATTCGATTGCTATTTTCCTCGTGATTACTATTGTACTGATTCGTGAGTGTGTAATTTCTAACGGTAATAATAGAGAGAAGTTATAATTTTGAAGCTAGATATAATTAATTAAAAGTCTGTGTGATAATGTCTGTATCTAATAAAATAATGTAACACCTGGATAGGAAAGTCCACAAATACATCGTTAATAAAAGCTTTTTAAAATTTGGCTGTTAAATGTGTCACTTTTGTTATTGGAATGAGAAACGAATACGAGAGAGCAATTAAGACAAAGAAAGGAGTAAAAGGAGAGAATAACGAGTGGGGACCATTAGAGCGAGGATGATTGAACTAACGAAGATATCCATCGGAAAGTGATTCCGTGTCACTATGTTTATTTATTCCTTGCGTCTGTTTCTTTATGAAGGCCAGCCTCGAAAACGTTTTGTGTTTTATTATTAATTCTTAAACATTAAATTGAATTATTAGCAACGAACATCTAGCTAGGCTCGTAGCCCTTTTATTATTTATTTGTTTTAATTTATATTTAAATTATTTCTTTTAGTATGTGCAAAGAACATAGCCGAATAAGCATATGAAAAATGCTCCCAAACCAAATCCAATTTTGAGTACATCACATTGTTAAGCTCGATAAAAGATTATTTTACATAAAATTTCAACCTGCTAAACTTATCTACGTAGTAGTAATGGTGAAAAACGTTAATTTCAATTTTTTATTTTTATTTTTCTACCATGTGAATTAAAAAATTTGAAAAAATTTGACACTTTTTAGCATGATATTACATCTAAAAAAATTTTTTGGTAATTATTTAAAATACCATATCCCACCTAAAATCTTAATAAAAGTGCACTCATTCGACGCATTTTCACTCAAAATGAAAGAATCTGGCAAAAAAAATGCGGCTGTCAGCCTCGTGAACCGAGATATTAAGCGTTGAAGTTTGATATTTTAGAGGTTAAGATATCTGTCATCTCCACTCGATACAGCGATATGTATAGGTTCTGCTTTAATTACACAAATTTACTGCTTTAAAAACAAATTGTCTGCTTCCTAAACACAAATTCATTCTTTAAAAACACAAATTCACTGCTTTAAAAATATAAATTCACTATTTTAAAAACACAAATTCGCTATTAATGCAAAGAATTTGTGTGCTTTAAACAGTGAATTTATATTTTTAAAGCAGTGAATTTGTGTTTTTATAGTAGTGAATTTGTATTTGTGAAGCAGAGAAATTGTTTTTAAAGCAGTGAATTTGTGTAATTAAAGCAGAACGTATATATAGTGCTATATTGAGTCGGGATGATAGATATTTTAACCTTTAAAATCTTGAACTTTAACGCTTAATATCTCGGTTCACGAGGCCGACCGCCGCATTTTTTTGCCAAATTCTTTCATTTCGAGTGAAAACGCGACGAATAAGTATATATTTTATTAAAATTTTAGATGGGAGAGATATGGTATTTTAGATAATTACTAATTTTTTTTAGATTTTTGACAAAAAATGTAAATTTAAAAAATGTAATAAGTCACACTCATTATAAACATTGTTATTAATGTCGCGTGAGTGTACACATACACTCACACGCACATATACACACGCATATACGCACGCTCGCGCGCACGACTTGCATAAATAAAAAATTTCCACACACACACGTACACATGATGTGCAAATTCTGACCGAGCAACCTCCTCGTGGTGCACATCGAATAACACAAATGTCGGTGGTATTTAACCAAAATCTTGCAAAATATAGGATCTACTTTAGAACCTGATAACTCAGCTCCTAGGCAATCTACAATTTTTTTTGTCATTTTAAAGGAAAAGTTTTCGGTTTTAAAACTGATGTGATGACGTTTTTCGCCTCATCATTGCTTTCCTCGTGGAAGGCTGCAATGTCATGATATTTTCAAGACTCTAACACTCTCTGTTTTTGGCTTTCATGAAAAAAAAAGTTTAATGAGACGAAAAATTTCACTTAAACAATTTTAAAGTAGAGGCATTTTTTTTTCGTCTCTGACTGTCGACACCACAAGATCTTGATGTCGGTTTTGAATATAATGCTATATTATATCTGACAATTTGATGAGCAATGTGTTCTACTTTTTGACATAATGTATTGGACTCCGTTCTCATTTATCTAACTTGGAAATTGGATAAAGAAGAATGAGCTGTATCGCAATGGTGGAATTTGCGTATAGTATGTAAGCGGAGTTAGGTTTATATTGATAAGGACCCAAATATAGGGGTCGAAACGTATATTTATTAATTTGGATATGAATTGTTAAATTAACACAAAAATAAATTGTGCATCCGAACAATTGATGTTGGTTTTGATGGGCTTATTTTTATTATTATTGATAGATTCTTCCAAGCCTTATTTTTAGATATTTGTTTAAAGTAGAGGTTTTACCTTTTAAAACGCGACAAGAAAAAATGTCCTGTGATTCCTGGAAGCTGAGATATTAAAAGGTTTCTTAAAATCAACAAAATTTGCAGGTTTTTTAAAGTGCTCCCTTAATTTATTTCAAATACATACCCAGCCCTGAACATACAGATTGACAAAGTAATATAAACACATGGAAAATATACTGCTTATTTTATTAATAAGATGTTGATCAATTGTCTTCAATACAGATTCTATTCTTGTTGGAATAGAATCATACAATACTTGAATAGTCATCAGTACAATATGTCATTTTTCTAGTAAAACTTGCAATTAAGGATATACACCCAAAAGAGTCAAAAAGCTACATATTTTTATGAATTTTTTTGCGAAAATTTGACTTCTCTCTTTGGACTTAACGGGATTCTCGCTCTTGAACGAGGATTTAGTTATATCGTATAACACCATGTCGATATCCTTATGAACATGGTGGGGTAACACTTTAGCTGATTATGATACAATTATGATATTAGTTCAGTTTTTTATTTGCGGTTAGATTATTAGGCTATTTGTATGTTAATTGAAGAAGACTCTGTGAGTCGAAACGTATTAAATGTATAAGAATCGAATGATTTTGTATCTCAAATATATATTTTTATTGTAATTTAACAACTTTTATGCTCGTTTTGGTTGTTTTCTTATTGTTTTGCTTTGTCATATTACAAAATTTTATAACAATTGCAAAGCTGCTCTTTCTAGAACACAACATTGTAATGTCTGCTGTTCCACTACCTTAATCTTTTTTTAGCAGAACCTCATTTTTTAAGAAGAGTTGCAGAGCAACAAATTTTTTTCTTTGACAACTTTTTAACAACAAATGAGTAACAAATAAATACTATTAATTTAAATTGATTCTGTTCACTTTGTTCCATTAATTTATAAAGCTTCAACCAAGATTTTCTCCACCATAGAAACCGGAGTGTTTATTTATTTTTTACAAATTTATATTTATGTACTTAAATGCACAATCAAAATATTAATAGTATTTTTAAAGATTTTAGTTGCTAGCAGAAGTATATACATAGGTATTTTTTTTAAATAAACTAATATATATTCGTTGTACTTAAAATAAAATGCATTTATATTTGGCAAGAATGAGAAGGAAAGTGCTAATTCAGTCCAGTGTAGCAGTAAAAAAAATAAACCTTATATAACTTATTATAGTAAATGTTAAATGTAAAAATACTGCCCAAAAATAACATAGCAGCACCTGCAAAGTGTTAAAAAAGCACTTATATAACACATTTTTAACGCTTCGTAGATGCTGTGTGCTACTTGGGTGATTTTTTTTATTACTGAATTTACATATATATTGTATACAGCTATACATTAATAGATTTGATTACATCAGAAATTTTTGTATTACATTTAAGTTAGTAATACCAGCATGATAGACGAAATGATTATTATTTTAATAGGCATGTTGAGATAAACAAAATATCTTACCTTTATATCAACTATCAGGATCTCGAAAATCTCGACCTATGTTGATGCAGAAGTAACAAAGAGAAATCGTAACGTACAGCGCAAATATTCAATAACGTATATACATCAGGATAATCTCAAATTCGTAATAGTTACAAAATAGCTCGTTACATTGACCCAACGTCAGCACGATTGACAGGTAGCCATAGTATGAATCTGCTTGCATAGGATTCCGATAAAATAAATATTTATTGCCGTTACTTATATGTTTTATATCATACGATTGAAATTATGATTTTCATCCATCTTCCATTCATTTGTATAATAACGTATATATACTTTTTACATGTACTTCGATCACTGTGAGAAAGAGGTTAGCAAAATCCAAGCAAAAAATGAGAATGCAACGCAACTACGGATTCAGTGTTGCCAACTCTCGAAAAAAAAAAAAAGAAAAATTAAGGGTCAACAGGGTATCAATTATGAAATTTTTTTCCTAGAATGAAAAGTGAAAAGTGAAAAATTTCTCCACTAACTCCAATGGTTAAAATCTTCATTTTTCACTTTCCATCCTAGGGTTAAAGTGTCATGATTGATACCCATATATGTAATACTACTATATTGCTAACGGCAATTAAGCTGGAAACACAATAGACCCAATAGACACAATAGACAGGAATAATTATTCCCTGTTGCCTGTGCCTATTGCCTGTGTCTATTGTGTTTCCAGGGTAATGATTATGTAACTTTTTCGCTAGAGAGGAAATGTGAAAAGTGAAAATTTTTATGTATGTACGTTCGTACATATACACACATACAGACAAAGAATTTTCACTTCTCACGTTTCCGCCCTAGGGAAAAAGTTACATGATCGCTACTCAGCTTTAAGAGCTGGGTATCAATCATGAAACTTTATCCTTAGAGAGGAAAATGAAAAGTGAAAAATTTCTCCATTAATTTTAATGGTAAAAATTTTCACTTTTCACTTTCAGTCCTAGGGATAAAGTTTCGTGATTGATACCCTGCAGCAAACATCACGGTGCAGACGATCGCTTCTCACTTCCACAATTCGTGTATTTTCGCAATGCGCATGCGCGTGTTCCCAACCTATTTTATCATATATTATCACGTTTATTGTGTCCGACGTGTTCAATAGTGAAGTTGAGTTTGTTTTTGGTTTATATAAAAGTACTAGTTAAAAATAGGAAATAATTCCGTGATCTTGTAAAGCTGGAAACACAATAGACACAGGCAATAGGAACAGGCAACAGGGAATAACGAGCCGTCCAATCAGAGCTCTGTGATATAATATCGAACTTATCCCCCAAAGCTCTGATTGGAAGGCTCGTTATTCCCTGTTGCCTGTGCCTATTGCCTGTGTCTATTGTGTTTCCAGCTTTATACTTGGTATTTCTTTTAATTATACTTTATAATATCTAACCTCTACAATACACGTGCCATGAATGCGCGCGCATACGTTCCCCAATGCATGCGCATTCGAAGTACGAATTGTGAAAGCGAGTAGTCGATTTCCTATCTCACTGGGATCGATTCCGTATCTTGAAACGAGGTGAAAATTACAAAAGTGAGCGAATTTACTAGAATACTGATAATTTCATTGGTCAACACCTAGTAAATTTGCTCATTTTTGTAATTTTTGCCTCGTTAGAAGATATAGAACCGACACCACTATCTTGGCACACCCCCTCTCCTACTCTCAAAAAGAAGCTGCGTTAGCAATATAGTAGTAGTCTAGCAAGACCACTCGAGCAGAATGGACGTGCGTTTGCCTTGCTTCGGGTATTGCATCATCTCATTAATTTTTTGAAAAGCGTTTCCGGCTTCAACTGTGCTTTGCATTACATTATTATTTTGACAAGACTGGTCAAGCTCACCTCGTTGGCGAGGGCCTGGGCCAATTATATATAGAACAAGAAGAAGAAGCAATATAGTAGTATTAGAGGCTTAGCACAATAAAAGGCGATTCTTATTTCAAGACCGTTTTAAGTAACGTCGTAAAACGCTAATGCCCTCTGAAAGGTTCGTGACTTCTTAAGACCGTACTTAAGACAGTCTTGAATATAAGATCTGACTATGAATACCGGCCCTAGTTTGGCCTCCTTTAGCAAAGCCTCCTATTCTATATACTCCATAGTCAATTTCTATCACGTAACTTATTTTCATACCGAAAATGAGCGTCGAACGCTTAGAACATATGTAAATGGAAAGGGAATAGGGCGCTGAAGCTAATATCTTTGCGAGAGAGAAAGATAGTAAGGGATAGAGTCCTAGATTTATCAGAGAAGCGCAACCGGTGTTATGCATTCTGATTCGCTGTTGCAATCTAACCAATTGCGTGACTTGGCAGCCATTTATAGTACTAGTGACATATTTCTATTTCATTTCATCCTATACATTCTATCTCACATTATCCTACACTTATCTCGTTTGACATAGTTTAAAGGCAGTTTCATAGCATGTCGGCCATGTTTAATACTCTCCTTAGCACCTTTGTCATACTGACTTAAGCCGGTTGCGCCTCTCTGATAAATCTAGGACTCTAGTAAGGGATAAAAGTTCGCAATGCGCATGCCCAGCACAGTCATCTGTGTGAATTGTGCAGTTGGTTTAGTATTCTTAGGGTGCCGTCACATGCGGCGTAACCTGCGTAAGCGTAACCTGCGTATTCTAGTAATTTACTAGAATACGTTATTTTTTATTTACTAGAATACGGCATTCTGAAAGCCCGCATTCACATTGAGCGTATTTCGCGGAAGATTAGAGAAATGCGGAACTAATGCAACCAATTGCTGATTAGAATTTCTGCTGTACACTCTAACAGAAATGCTAAATGAATTTACGATTGGTTTTCGTAACCTACGCATCTCGAAAAGTACGCTTTATGGGCAACCGGTACCTTTCCATCGCGTACATATGAGCGAATGATCGAATAAATTATTAAAATCGGAACATTTTGTGAAACCACTCTTAGGCTTATTCGACGCGTTTTTTGCATGAAACAAAAGAATTTGGCAAAGAAAACGTCGTTCTGCCTTGTGATTTGAGATATTAAGCTTTAAAGTTGATGTCTATTGAGATTAGAAAATCTGTCACAGAGGCAAAATGAGGTCTATAATTGTATTGTTCCACATGGGTTTCGACTGTTCACACGATGCAAAGGGGCGTACGACTTTTATAACTGTACTGTTGCAAAATCGAAACCTTTGTGCATTTTTTCAGACAGAATAAGCTAAAATGAGCCAGAAATTAGTTTCGACGCATAGTGGTTCTATTATGTTTCGGCGTAACAACAAAATAGCGTAAAAAGCATAAAGTGACTAGACAAAAACTGATGTTCAAGTGAAATGATATGATTGGTCGGCGCAAGTTACGCTTACGCAAGTTACGCTGCATGGGACATCACCCTTACTCATTCGTATATTACACAGATGTGTAAAACGTAAAGGCCGCAGCACACACTCTTGCATAACGCATAATGCATAATGCCTAAGCTAATCAACTAATCAGAATCTTTCCTTTCCTTCCATTCCATGGAAAAGAAGAATTTTGATTGGTTGATTCCTTTATGCACTATGCATTATGCATTGTGCAAGAGTGTGTGCTGCGGCCTTAACGCTGCGCATGCACATTTGGATATATTTATCCCTTACTACCTTTCTCTCTCGCACAGATGTTTGCATCAGCGCGAGCCATGGGAAATGTAGACAATTGCTGGATTCATACTGCATTCAATTTGCGTCGTACGACACTGAGCGCTCACTGAGCGCTTAGTGTGATCTTGGCTCTGATTGGCATATTCCGTTAGATCTAAAAATATAGACCAAACAGATACAAGAACTCACTGAGAGGATTCCGATGGATTTTGATTCGTATTGTTGCGCCCCTTCGCACGATCTCACTCAAGAGCACGACGCGCACTCCCGAGCCGTGGAAAGGATTGGACACAGAGGATGGTTAAAAGGAAACAAACGGTCTTTATTGCAGAGGTCGATACAACTCGTAGATAACACGATATACGTCGGAATAAGAGCTCTTGAAAAGCAATGGAGAGAACACGTCCGTAAGTGTCGACGTCTCTCCAAGATCTGCCGAACGTTCTCTATCAACAACGGCGCGTCCCCTTGACAACGCGACATCAGAAACTGGCAAGGCGTAGCAGGCGGCGGCGTAACAGTATCATTGGAATCTTGTTTTCTGATTGGTTGCAGAGCGTACGAAATAAATCGGATGCAGTGTGAATCCAGCAAATGCCCCTTCCATTTATGGATGCATTCAGTACTACGACCTCTCACTGAGCGCTCAGTGAGCTCTTCTATCTGTTTGGTCTATAATTTTTAGATCTAACGGAATATGCCAATCAGAGCCAAGATCACAATGAGCGCTCAGTGAGCGGTTGTAGTACTGAATGCACCCTATGGGTATGTTCGGGGAGCTTGCTTCTACCACTATCGAATGCTAACGCTGTTCGGAGAGCTCCCTACCAACGCTACGGCTGTGTTCCAAAATTGTATGTCAGCGCTGGCAGTACTCCCAACACCGTTCCAAAAATCATCGTAGCACGCTGTAGCAGTGCTGCGAGAGGGTAAAGACGTCATTAATGTTGTCGTCATTTCCTACTGCGGCTGCTGCGGCTGTCGAGGTGAGGCAGCTACAGCACAAGATGGCGGAAAAGATGGAGGAGTTAATTTTAATCGATGCTGAGAGTAACACTGAGAAACTCAGTGTTTCTGTAGAAGATGCTAGGGTATATCCATAAACTTGCATAGCCGCATAAACATATACATAAAGAAAATTATCCAATTGCAGTTCTCTTTTAAAGTCGTACATAAAATGTGATTGGATAATTTTCTTTATGCATACGTTTATGCGGCTATGCAAGTTGTGTGGATATACCTTAAGAAAGCAAGAAGTAGTGAGTAGATTTATAATTTTTTTGTAGTCTGCTTTTTGTAGTCACACTTATTTATTCTGATTTCGAATTCAAATACAAAAATTGGCATAACCTATGTACAAGAGGAAATCAAAAAGTAAATTTATTTTATTCACATACAATAGGCGTTAACAAAATATGTACATTATTTCTCAATACAATCATTTACATTTGTATAAAATTTTGTTTAACAATCTATAAATCTGATTCCATCTATGAACAAACTGGTTTTTGACTATCCTTGAAACATCAATGGTATATACCGTTTCCTTAACTTCCTTAACTTCCTCATTAGTCCGGATCTACAATAGGTGTTTTAAGCCTTAAGCCGTAAGAAATTGACCAACTACAGTCAAATGTGAGGAGAATAATTGATTGTGATTCGTCCATTTCTTATGGCTTAAAGTTTAAAAATCATTGTAGATCCGGGGTTACTATTACGATCTTTGTGCTTCGAGCAAATTGGTTTCCATTTATTTGT